GTTGATGATTTTCCCATGCTCTGTGATCAGCTGGCCTATACTCAGGCTCTTCTCTCCTCTGGAACCATTAGAGGGTAGGGTTCAAGACCCAGCATGTGATTCTCAGCTAAAACTGAAAGAGATGGAAGGTAGGGAGCAGGAAATCCTTGGAATGCAGAGGCTCCCAGACACTGGAACCCACGAGCCTGCTACAGAGAGGTGAGGATCATAGCAGCCTTTGGCTACAGCTCAGAGAAAGCACAATCAAGAGTCAGAAAAGGCTGTACAGCCTAGTGGTAAGTGAATCTCAAGGGTCTGGAGTCAAACAGGCTCTGTTTCCATCCCCCCATGGCTACCTGTACAGACAAGCAACACAGGTGAACTTCAGTACTCAGGAAGAGTTGATGGCCAACCTCAGAAGGGTTAGGGGCCTACAAAAGACATAGTTGGAAGACACTCAGGGTGAAGATTGTGGCTGTAATGACATAGACATCCTTGGTTCTAGAGTTTTATTTCATTCCAGCTTTTAAAAGACAATCACAGATGTCCTTCTCTGTGTGGTGGGAAGCACACTGCCATGAGAGCCATTCCCTAAAGACCTTCTCAGTGCTTCTAGAAAGCCCAATATGAGGGTTGTGGAGAACCAATGCCACCTCTGCACAGTGATTACTATATTCAGTTATCAAGTCTAGTGACTTTGGTGTCTGGTGACTAATAGCCAGGCAGCATTCTGGGTATTGCTTCTGAATCCTCTTATTGATTCCTCATAGAATGTTTATATATGGTATTGTTACCATCATCTCATTGTACAGAAAATTAAGCCAAGGTCGAGAAATTTATAAAGCCAACCCTTAGAGCAGATGAGAAAGTCATAATTGAATTGACTTTTGTGTATAAGTATATCCATTTCAGGCAACTCTTCAATTTCTGTCCTTGAAGAATTGGACACTTACTTCTCTGTGGAGATGTGTTAAGAACTTTTCTCATAACATAGCTTGCTTTCACTCATCTCCTGCCATCCTGTAAGTTGGGTCTCCATTGACAGGAAGTAGAAATCACATCCAAGGGTTTTCCTAGTCAGACTCCCACTTCATATAGTCACCTTCACCATTCCATGAGGCTCCCCAGTGACCGATGGTCACATTTTGCTCCTGTGACAAATATCTAAGAGGAAGAATATCAAGGAGGATCGATTTGTTCAAGTTCATGCTTTCTGAAGCTTCTCTCTGTGCTCAGCTCGCTCTATTGTTCCAGGCCTGACAATGGTAGAAACTATGACAGAAGCACATGGGAGGGAAAAGCTTCTCACCTCATAATATCCAGGTAGCAAAGAAACGAAGAGAGAGATCAGGACCTGGGGACAAGTTGTTCCCTTCTGAGTCACATCTTCCAGTAAACTACTTGCTACAACCATTCTGTAATATCCCATCGAGCCACAAACTCCTTTAAAGACTGATATAGTTAGGGATCAAGACCTGTCACCGCTCATTAGTAAACTAAGAGCCAAGCTTTGAATACATGAGCCGTTCAGAGAGATACTTCACACCCAGGTCATAACAGATCATCCACTCACCGCCCTCTCTCTTCAGATAACAAAATGAGGTGGCCTGGATAGAGGAGCTACACAGTCAGTTCTTAGTTCAGCCATATCCAAACCAAAATCAACAAAATAAAAACAGCTATCCAAATCCCTTGCTATCATTTCAACTTATCAGCTCAAATGGGACAGGTTTCTCTGCAAGAGAAGCATGTGCTTGTTACAGGGTCAAGGACAACAGCGGGCAACCCATCTCCAGCCTTGTTTTTCAGCAGCTGTAACAACAGAGGAACCCTCAGCACACATCTCACGGACTGACACTTGCCACTATAGCAACGAGAATGCTCCCCATCCAGAATCACAGGGCTGTCCTAACACATGTCCCCCTTTTCCCAAGATGCAGTCCACTCCTTTGCTGTCCCTACCCTAGCTGCCCCACTATGGGGACATGCGTGGCCACCATGAATAAAGCTGCTGTGTCCATTACCACTCTTTGTGTACAGAATTTTGCCACCGATTCTGGAAACCGAGAGTCATAACTGGTGAATTCTTTGTTTGGTAACAAAGAGTGTCTGTCTATTAAGCCACTGCTTAGGAGCAGAGCCCTCAATATGGTGAGCAAGTAGAGGCGGTCCTCGATGTGTTCCTGTAAAAACAGAGTATACAAGAGGGGCTGGAGCCATGGCTCAGCAGTGAAGAACACATACTGCGCTGGCAGAAGTCCCAAGGTTGGTTCCTAGAAACCACATCAGGTAACACACAACTGTCTGTAACTGCAGCCTGAGGGGCAGGGAGGGAGGAGGGATATACTGCCCTTTTCTGGCCTCCATGGACACATGCATTCATATGTACATTCACAGATATGCAGACATACTCATAATTAAAACATAAAAATAAATCTTACAAATAAATACTAAACAGACTGACACGCTAATTATTAATAAAATGCAATGAAACATGATCAACAGGGTGCCATGGAGAGAGGAACTAAGCAAGCATAGCCATCACGGTACTGTCAGGACACGGTCATTCTGAGGAATCAAACCTCTAATTACACATAGGGGACTCCTAGAGATGTCAGTAAGATCAGTGTGGAGACTCTTATCATTCTGTCCCTGATTGCATTCTAGATTTTCTGCCTCTTCCAAATTTTGTTTGATGTTTGCAAAACATGAATATAAGATATACATATTGTAAAAAGAAAGTCAAAATACAAAGAAGTGTTACCTACATGCTCACTCAGATTCACATTATGGCTAAATGATGAATATAGTTTAGGCAGACACATGAGTAGGTAGGCAAGCGGGCAGGCATACAGGGAGAGGGTAGAAGGGCAAATGAGTGGATGCAGATGTTTACAAAAATGGAAACTGTTGTTACACAGAAGAAATTATAAGGCTACTCTTTAAATCTGAAATACAAATTATTATAAAAATAGTTATTCGTTTGCTCTATACCAGAACAATTATTGTGTGATCTTCCAGAAAACAACTACATGTGCACACAGACAGACAGACAGACAGACAGACAAAATAGCACCATTCTATAGGTCCTACTCTGCTCATTACCTCATCCCTTGACAATATAGCCTAGGGAAGCATGTGCAATCTTTATTCGTTCTTAATGACTATTAATGCCTATTTTTACATAGCCAAGAATACTTTCTATAATAATCTTGCATCTTGCCTTTTCACTTAATATTATATCATTAAAAATTCTTACCCCATTAAAAATTATTTGTGAAAAACTATTCTAATGACTGCAAAACATTCTGCTACAGGAGTAAACCACAATTTACATAGACACTACCTAATTATGAGCATTTGGAATGGTTCAGAAAATCCTATTAATGGCTTCAATGAACATTATGCATAGCCTTTACTGTGTTTCTCCAGTTATAGAATCCCAAGTTCGTTTCTATAAAAATTTATTGAAACCTCTTACAAACCCAGCATTGTTCTCCATTCTACTGTGACACCAAGAGCAGAAACGATGTGAATACTAATGTTTTAGATAAACAGAAGGCAAGCTGGGCTGTATGCAAATACTCTCTAGACGTGTCCATCTCCAGGTGGCTCTAGGTAGCGGGGCATATGCTTGTCCCATTATTTTCCTGTCTGACATATTTCTTTACAAAATGTTCTTTCTCCACCAATAGAGGTATGAAGAATCTAGTTCTGAAAGGGTGGAAGCAAGCCATGCAGCCACCTTAGGCTCTAGGGAAGACTCCCCCCTTTTACTTGAAAAAAAAAAAAAGATGTTCTCTGGGAGGCTCAGAGGGTTTGACACAAGGTGTGAAGCTAAGGTTCAAGCATATAAATAATCCTGCAGCATGGCTTCTAAGAACATACTTTCTGGAGAACCTCACCGAATTTGGGGGAGGGATGCACGAGATCAGACTGAATGAGAATGGCTCCTTAATAGGCCCACTTTCTGCACTCTTGTAGAACTGCTTCAGTCTCCATGAATGGAGGCTCTGTTTTCATGGATGGAGGTTCTGGAGCCAGAGGACCACCATTTCTTGCACACATTATTTAACCTGACTCTGATTTCTTTATACTTAAAATAAGGATAGGACCAGAATGCACTTTGCAAGACTAATGAGAGAATTTCACCGACTAGTTTCTTGTGCCTAGAACATTGTACATTACTTACCATAATAGTTTGTCAGCTAAGATATAAAACACAGACTTTCTTAACTATAGCCTCAACGGAATGAAAAGAAGAAGTTCATGAAGACTGAAATGCTTTATAGAAGCAACTGGAAATCAACAGTTCCCCAGTACTGCTGGGTTATATATATTAGATGTGTTAAATTTCTATGACCAAGGACTGAACAAAGCCAAGGGACATCCCTCCACCTACGACATGCACTTATAATGGAGACAATACTAACTTGCTTCCATTCACACTTTTTAAGATTGTTTTTGAGACAGGGTTTTTCTATGTAGCCCTGGTTGTTGCAGAAGTCACTATGGAGACCAGGCTGGTCTCAAACACACAGAGCTCTGCCTCTGCCTCCTAAGTGTCAGGATTAAAGAGTGTGCCACTATATCCAGCCCTTATTTTATTTTGAATTATGTGTGTATATGTATGTCTGTGTGGGAGTGTGCAAGCATGAGTGTAAGGGCTGCTGAGTCCAGAAGAGGACATCAAAACCCCTGCAGCTAAAGGTTGTGAGCCATCCAACAGGGATGCTGAGAAGCAAACTCTGGCCCACAATGTTTACAGCCAGCTCTTCAGCCCCCTTCTACTTTTTCTTATCACTCTGCTAAGATAGACTAGGCATGCCAATCTGTCTGGAAGACACTGCAGGCAGATGGAATCACATCAGCAAAGCATGTTTCCAGGAGTATATTGTATGCTCGCACAATTACAAATGGCTCACTAGAGGCTGTGCTAGAACACATCTTATGACAAAAAGTCATCTCTCTAAGGGCTGGATTTGCCAGATCTCTAGAGATCTACTAAGAATAGGGACACCCCTACTTCTAAAGGGATTGCAGGTGTGGCTGCTCTGACACATGTGCTTCAGTCGGTGGCAGAGAGGAGAAAGGCTATGTCTACCCTCAGTGTTCTGACCTATGAACATCTGAATGATTAGTAACCTAACATTCTCTGAAAAAAGCAAGCCTGAGATGACTACCAGTCTGGTGCTGCACAGGCTGGGATGAGCTCCCAGGAGGCTGGGCAAGCAGGAGACTAGAAGAATCCCACAGCACAGACAGCACATGAGGCCACTCAGGTGGACCAGACAAGGAGCAAGATCAAGAAGACCAGCAGGCCTGTGCCATGGGGCCGAGACAAGGAACTAGAAGATGATCTCCAGTCCGAAGCTGCACAAGCCTAGGGGTTGGAGGCCCAATCATGCTCAAGATGACCCTTGCCCTGGGACCATAACACGTAAGCAGGACCTAGCACTCCTGAGACCGCTCCTAAGAAGATCCCAGACACTCAGAGACCTCGGACACCACTAAGAGAAGCAAGTAAGTGGTGGAGAAATGGAAAAGAGAGAAGCAGAAAGATGTGGGCACAGTGAAGAGGGGTGGAATTTGAGACTCGAGAGTAGTGAGGAACAGCCTGGTGTGAGGAGCCAGTGATGCCTCCTGGGACAATGGTAGTCTTCTGGCCTATGCTCCCACTACGGTCCATGTCTGGATCCATGACCTTGCAGTAACAGACCCCTGTTTTGGTGGTATGTTACCACCAAAAGCCAGGCAGATATCCCTAGTCTGAGCTGCCACCTGGAGACATGTTAATGCCTGAGGGCTGCTCAGAACTGGCCCCATCTCTCACTTGGGCATTGTGGGAGAGCTGTCCCTAGGGGACAAAAATGCACGGGAGCTAGCTGACCCTGCCTCTTATCAGCTACAGAACTCAGGAGAGTAGGTCTTACACATTACCTGGGCAGCACAATAGAGCTGACTCTGGGAAGGGGGGGGTACTGGTGAGCCAGCCCCAAGGGCATGAGCATAGAGAGAGCTGGAAATGCCACGTGTCAGTCATGAGGTGACAGGGCTGAAGAAGAACCAACCCCCACCCAACCTCTTACCCCTTGACACCTATGGCAGCAGGAGAGCTGGCCCCAAGATCACCAGAGCAGGAGAGTGGGCTCTCCCCATACCTGCTGTAGCACTCAGGAGAACGGGCCCTATACCTCACCTGGGTAGCACAGTAGGCCTGGCCCTGGATGTGGGGGTTGTTGATGAGCCTTCCCCAAGGCACAAGTGTAGGAGAACTGGCCTGTCTCTTGTCTACTGAGCAGTGATACAAACTAGGGAGGGACAACCTCTTCCCCTCCCTCATCCCTCACCATCTATGGCAAGCAGGAGAGCTGGCTCCATGAGAGTGGGAGAACTGGCTTTGTCCTTCATTGGTTGCAACACTTGGGAACACTTGCAACACAGGTGGGCTCTGCACCTCGCCTGTGCAGCAGAGTAGAGCACCTCGCCTGTGAAGCAGGGTAGAGATGGCCCTGGTTATGAGGGTTGGGGGAGCTGTGGGGTAAAGAGGGTGGCGTCGCTGGCTGACCAGCTCAGATACCTTTCATGTCCAGATCCAATGATTTGACTTAGCCTACACCAACATCTACCCCATCGATGAAGTAACTGCTAGAGTGCATGAAGGCCCACAGATCCAAAACTACAGGATCTTCATGACACAGAGCAATAATCGGATATCCGAGAGACATCCCAGTGAGGTTCCAGTATTGATAGAGTAACAGAAGCCTGAAGCCTTGTACCAGAACGAGTCATTACAATGAACATTTGCAAGCAAAGAAGTGTGGACAAAGGGGTATACTGTGGGACACACTGTGACACACTACAGATGAGATTTTTCTTCTCTGTTGCAGGGGAGGTCACAAAGGGTGAAGGAAGGGTATGAGGAAATGGGGAGAATGGGGTTGGGGTACCTGATGTGAAGTTCACAACAAACCAATAAAAGTTAAAAAGAGAGAAAGAGAGTAGTGGCACCTACCCAATAACTCTAAGAAAAGAAACAATCTCTATACTCCTTCTAAGTACACCCAATAATGTCACGGAGGTCCTGATACATTAATAGTGGATGACTTCAATTCCTGGTCTCATCTTTAGGTGTTGAAAACTCTCCGAACAAAGAAAATTCAAAGATCAGATGAATTTGCTTCCAAATTCTACTAAACCTTTAGGAAGATGTCACCAAATTTCCCCACACAAAAAATAAATCAAAAGGGAAGGTGCACCACTAACTCATTTTACAAACCCAGTGTTCTGACACCAGAGCCAGATAATGACACAATAAGAAAAATAATTTAAATTACAGGCCAACTTCCCTGATGAAAATAGATGTAATTTTTCCATCAAGTTCTTTCACATTGAATTCAATAATGCATTAATAAGATTATACTCCATAACCAATTTGGAAATCACACAATCACCTCCATAGTTTGAGAAAAGGTCCTTGACAAAGTCTGATGTCATGTCCGAAGAAATTAGAAACCAGAAGAAGACAGGACAATAAAACCTGCACATGATAAAACTACAGCCAATATCATACTGAATGAGAGAAAACTGAAAGCATTTCATCCAATATCAGGAAGGACACAAGGGTACCCACTACTGCTGCTCTCACCATGTCCAAAGTCTTGACCAGATCAGTGATAAAGAGAAAAAGGAGTACAGATAGCAAAAGAAGTCATCAAAGTGTCCCTATTTGTAGATGATATGACCCTATATTTCAAAGGCCTTAAAGATTCCACCAGAAAAAAATCTTAGACCCAATACACATACTCAGCAAAAATAACAAGATGCAAAATCAACACTCAAACAGTGGCAGCCTTTCTATATACCAATCATAAACTTGCCGAGAAAGAAATCGTGAGTTTCAAAAAGTAAGAATAACAACTATAGACAACCTAACCAAGAAGATTATGGTCCCCTACAATGAGAATTTTAAGACAGTTTAAAATCAGAAATTGAAGACACCAGAAGACAGAAAGACCTCTCATGCTTATGAACTGGGAATTGGTATTGTAAAAATGGCTTGATTTCCAACGCAATCTAAGTTTTCAATGCAATCCTCAGCCAAATTCCAACGATGTCTCTCACAGAACTAGTACCAAAAAAAAGAAAACCCTACAATTCAAATGGAAGCACAAAATGCATATCCAAAGAAATCCTAAGCAGAAAGGATAATATTGCAGGAATCACAATACATGGTTGTACATTAGATAACAAAAAAAATCATATGATACTAGCACAAAACAGGCATGCAGAATAGGGGAGGAAATAGAATAGAATGCAATGCAATAGAGGACACAGAATAAGTACTCACAGCTATCAGCAATAGCCACTTAATTTACAATAAAAGTGTCAAAAATATCCACTGGAAGGACAGCTTCTTCAATAAATGGTGCAAGAAAATGTGATATCCTTGTGGAGAAGAATGATAGTAGATTCATCTCTCCCACCCTGTACCAAAAAAATCAATTCCAAATAGAACATATACTTTAATGTAGGACATGAAACAGCTAGGAGATAATGCTTTAAGGTACACACATAGGTGAAGGCTTTCGGGGGCGGGGGGAACTCCAAAAATGATGGAAATAATCCCAGGAATTGACAGATATGATAGCACAGAATCGAAAAGCCTCCATACAGCAAAGGAAACCATCTGCAGTGTGAATAGGCAGCCTCCAGACCAGGAAGAGATACCTTTGCTAAATATACATTACATGGAGGATTGGAGTCTAGAGTTCAAAAGGAGCTAGAAACTTAAACAACAAGAAGAAATTAACAAAATCATGTGATCAATAAGCAAGCAGATGAACTGAAGAGTTAGCTCTGAAAAACAAGCACATGGGTAGTAGCATATACCTAAAGACAAGTCCAACATTCTCAATCACTGGGAAATTTTACATTAAAATTGTTTTGAGAGTCTGTATTACTTTATCATTGCCATGACAGAATACCTAATTTAAGCAACCAAAGAATGAAAAGGCTCCCCTCAGTGAGGAAGTCATGACAGCGAGAGTTTGAGGCAGCTGCTCATGTTGGACTCACAATGAGGAAGGAAAGAGCTAGCTTCAAATTGTTTTATTACTATTATTATTATTATTATTTATTATTATTATTTCAGACAAGAACCCCAGTCCATGTAAGACTGCTGCCTATGCTAAAGGGGGTCTCCCTATCTCTATAAATCCAATCTAGAAACTTCACAACTCACAGATGTGCCCAGAGGTGTGTCTCCTAGGTGACTCTCTTAGTTAGGATTTTACTGCTATGAACAGGCACCATGACCAAGACAAGTCTTATAAAGGATAACATTTAATTGGGGCTGGCTTACAGGTTCAGAGGTTCAGTCCATTAAGATCAAGGTTGGAGTATGGCAGCAACTAAGCAGGCATGGTGCAGGAAGGAGGAGCTGAGAGTTCTAGATCTTCATCTGAAGGCTGCTAGCAGAATGCTGGCTTCCAGGCAGCTAGGATGAAGGTCTAAAGCCACAGTGACACACCTACTCCAAGAAAGCCACACCTACTCCAATAAGATCACACTTTCTAATAGTGCCACTCCCTGGACCAGTGTAGACTTCTACAGTCACAAAGCAGGTCAGTGTAGAAGATCCTCAAAAAAGCTAACAGAACAACCATATGAAACAGATATACCACTCCTCAAAGACTCAAACATAGCAGAGTCTTACCCAGCCATATTTATTCATAATACCTAAGAAACTGAAACCCAAATGTCCATCAATAGAGATAGATAGAGAAAATATGGGGCATACTCACAATGGAATACAAGTGTTTTTCAAAAAGTGAAATAAACTAGACTCATAAAGACAAGCACCAAGTTTTCTCTTATACAAGGAAAAAGGTGTGGGGAGAAACAGAATCAGTGCTGGGATGAGCAGGTAATGGCACACACGTGACATTAAAGCAGGAAGAACTACTTAACGGAGACCAGAAGGCAGGCAGGGGAGAGATTGGAGAAGTGGGGGGGAACACAGGGATTTTTTTATTAAATTAAAATATTTTGAGGCATCAAATATTTAGTTTATTGGCACTTATAAAACAATCGAGTAGGAAGCAGGTAACAGAAAAATGACCGTCAGCACACAACGTGATGGGCTTCATTA